AAGCTAGAATATAAAGACTATATATATATGTATATATGTACATATGTGTATATATACCTATACTGTATGTGTATATACGTATATACGCATATACATATACAGTATATGTATATACGTATATACACACATATACAGTATATGTATATACGTATATACACATACATATGTATATATATACATGTGTGTGTGTGTGTATATATATATAAATATCCAAGAATCAAAACTGCATTTAAAACTGTTTCTGTCTACTGCCCAAGTATAAAAATTCAAAAGTTTCACAGTACCTTTAGCATATCAGCCGCTTCTTTCCTGCGCTGTGCCATGTCCTCAGATTCAGTCAGAAGATCATCCAATAAGGATGATTTATACAGCTGGCCTACTAGCTCACTCTGAAGAGTGTCTTTCACATGATTAACCAAAAAATGCATTACTGCCTTTGGCACACTGCAAAACAAAGCCGAATTATGGAATTTTAGCCAAAATTCTACTTTTAATAATTTGGGCTTAGGAAATAAGAACACTGTACTACTTTGGATATTTCATTAATGGCATAATTGCCCTTTAGATTTTTGCTTAATTATAAGCAACAGTTCACTGGCTAATGCCTGTAATCCCAGCACTTTCAGAGGCTAAGGGAGGTGGACTGCTTAAGGCCAAGAATTTAGTTTGAGACCACCCTGGCCAACATGGTGAAACCCCATCTGCACTAAAAATACAAAAATTAGCTGGGCATGGTGGCACATGCCTGTGATCCCAGCTACTCAGGAGACTGAGATACGAGAATCACTTGAACCCAGGAGGCAGAGATTGCAGTGAGCCAAGAACTGCACTCAACCCTGGGTGACAGTCTTACTCTGTCTCAAAAGGAAAAGCAACAGTCCTCAATATTTTACCTTCTTTTCATCATCCTTATTTCAAAACTCTTTGATAAGCTTTATTCAGGTTGGGCATGGTGGCTCACGCCTGTAATCCCAGCACTTTGGGAGGCCCAGGTGGGTGGATCATCAGGTTAGGAGTTCAAGACCAGCCTAGCCAACGTGGTAAAACCTTGTCTCTACTGAAAATACAAAAAAACAAAAAATAGTCGGGCGTGATGGTGGGTGCCTGTAATCCCAGCTACTTGGGAGGCTGAGATAGAGAATTGCTTGAACCTGGGAGGTGGAACGTGCAGTGAGCTGAGATAGCACCACTGCACTCCAGCCTGGGCAACAGAGCAAGACTCCATCTCAAAAAAAAAGAAAAACCATTATTCATAATAGCCAACAAGTGAGAAAAACCTAAACATCTATCGGCTGATGAATGGATAAACACAGTATCACATATCCATATATCTTATTCAGACATAAAAAGATACATCACTTAATAACATGGATATGTTCTGAGAAATGCATTATTAGATGATTTCATTATGTGAACATCAAAGAGTGTGCTTACACAATTACAGATGCTACAGCCTACAACACACCTAAGGTAGATAGGATAGCCTATTGCTCCTAGGCTACAAACATGTACAGTATGTTACTGTATTGAATACTGTAGGGAACTGTAACATAATGGTAAGTACGTATCTAAACATAGAAAATTACAGAAAAAATATGGTAGCATAATCTAAAGGGAACACATTCAAATACGTGGTCTGTTGACTAAAACATTACATGGCACATGACTATACTGATTCAATGCTACGATATGGATGTGGCTTAAAAACATTCAGTGAGCCAAGTGCGGTGGCTCACAGCTGTAATCCCAGCACTTTGGGAGGCAGGCAGATCACAAGGTCAGGAGTTCAAGACCAACCTGACCAATATGGTGAAACCCTATCTCTACTAAAAATACAAAAATTAGCTGGGCATGGTGGTGGGAGGCAAAGGCAGGAGAATTGCTGGAACCCAGGAGGCAGAGGTTGCAGTGAGCCAAGATCACTCCAGCCTGGGTGACAAAGCGAGACTCCATTTCCAAAACACACACATACTAAGTGAAAGAAGCTAGGTACAAAGACTATATGAATATTAGTCTTATACGAGTATTAGACATATTAGTATATGAAATATCCCAAAGAGGCAAATCCAGAGAGACCATAGGTTATTGGTTGCCAGATATAGGAGGGAGCAAAATGGGAAGCCCCTGCAGTTGAGTACAGGGCTTCTTTAAGAAGTAATGCAAATATTACAAATACCACATAGTGGTTAAGACCACATAGTGGTGAGCATTGCACAGCTTTGTGATATATAATAAAAATCACTGCAAACTACACTTAAAAGAGGGTGGACTTTGTGGTGTATGAATTATATCTTTAAAAAACAAAAGCAAGGCCAGGTATAGTGGCTCACGCCTGTGATCCCAGCACTTTGGGAGGCCGAGGCGGGTGGATCACCTGAGGTCGGGAGTTCGAGACCATTCTGGCCAACATGGTGAAACTCCATCTCTACTAAAAATAGAAAAAATTAGCTGGGGGTGGTGTTGCGCGCCTGTAATCCCAGCTACTCAGGGGCTGATGGAAAAGAATTGCTTGAACCTGTGAGGCGGAGGTTGCCATGAAGTGAGATCGTGCCACTGCACTCCAGCCCAGTGACAGAGCGAGACTCTGTCTAAAAAAAAAAAAAAAGGCAAGTCAGTGTTACTAGCCAAAATAATTAAACTATTAAATTAAAATTTGGAAAAAAAAATTTTTCTTAAATGACTCAAAATGTGGCAGCCAAACAGAACAAAAGAATCTCTCGTTTTTAATAGCTTTTTCTAGCTGATACATGAGGTCCTAGTCATTCTATGTTAAACTCAAGTCTTACTACAAGTTACCCAAGGACTATCAGAGAATCCACTTAATTTAGAATAAAAACTAACCTAAAATTTTTTAAAATACATGTATTTTTCAAAACAAATCACAGAATCATCCAGCAGTATTAAAGCCTGTGATTTATATTAATACTAACCTGTCTTGAATATTCTTTCTGACAATGAGAAAATATGATTTGATGAGTCGTTCAATAACCTCACAGTCTCGCTGTTCCCGAGCAGATAGTTTTCGTGCAACAGGAACTGGCTAAGTGGGGATGAGGGGGAAGAATATTACTTTAATGACACTTTGAAATGCCAGCATTTAACATCTGAAAGTTACTAAGTTTTGAGACTTTTAGTTCTTTTTGTCTAATTGTTTTCCTACTAACATGGTTATCCTATTAGACCTAAACCAAATTGTCACGGCTTACCACATCCAGCAGATTCACAGCATGACCTTTCTGTGGACTGGCTGGCATAATTGGAATGGGTTTTGATTTTTCTTCTGCTAATAACTCTTCAGCTTTTGAAGTTTTCAGCATTCCTCTCCAGTTGCCTGTTGTTGGTTCTTGAACACCATCTCCAACCCCACCACCTCCAGATGCAACCTGAAAAAACATGTTCCAAAACCTATACCAACTTTAATCTATGCAGACAGATAATGGGGTGAGAAGGAGATGGTAGGTGGCATGTATAACTGGAACCCTGAGCTATCTAAAGTAAGAGGTTCTACTGTAAGTTGTTTGCAAGGCATTAGCCAATTTATGTTCTATTTAATTCCCTTTTTCTTTTATCATTCGCTAACTTTTCAAAACTGTTCCTCTTCTCCCACCCTTCAAACACTAAATTGTAAAAAGAAGTATAAGCTGCCCTTAAAAACAAAACTACTCATTAAAAGCACAAAGAACTGCCATTGAGTTTAATTTCTTAAGTAATCATAAACACTGTTAAACTCTCTCCCTAAAATTCTATAAATTTATTATGTCTCTGAACTTAAGAGTTTATATATTTCTCAAGTCAATTTACATTCCTAGTAGTCAACAAAAATGCCATAAGGTATAAGAACTCTTTAATAGCAAGACATTTGTTATTCCTAGGCTGACAGTCACTATAAGTTGTTTCAAAGGTGGAATCTGACAAACACAACGGAAGTCCCTTCAACATCTGCACTCTTAAGGATTTGCTGCAAGAAATCTAGTGCTACCATTAATCACAAGTGCTTTTGCACCTTGTTTTCTGTAAAATTAGTCTTGACTTCTAAAAAACAAAAATGACTGCTTATAATGGAAAAACATAATTC